AGCTTATCGTCTGGCTCTACCAGATAATCTTCATAGGGTACATAATGTTTTTCATGTATCTATGCTGCGAAAATTTCTACGGGAAGAAGATCGATATCAACACATTGATGTGGGTGAGATTGAGTTGCAACCCGATGCAACCTATTTGGAACAACCTTACTGTATTCTCAATCGTAGGAATCAGATACTGCGCACGAAGACTATTCCATTAGTACGTGTACAGTGGAGTCATTATAGTGCTACAGAGTCTACTTGGGAACGGGAAGATATTATCCGTGCCAAGTATCCAGAGCTTTTTAATACAGGTATGTAGTGAATTTCGGGGACGAAATTCCGTTATTAGGGGGGGGAGAATGTAATACCCCGTATTTTATTAAAGAGTTTAGTTTATTTAAAAAAAAAAATTTCAATTATGTGAGGATTTCGTTACTTATTATTGTGCATGCTGCATTATTATATTAAGTTCATTTAAATGTGCATGTAAATTAATTGTTTATGTTAAAATAGTAAATTTATTCATTTAATTATGCATGTATTATTATTAATAATTTTATTTGTTGGTTATGCTTATATTAATCATTATTAGTTAATTAAAGTTTTATATTTGTGTAATAAAGTATTATTATGATTATAATGTATTCTTATGTAATAATAATAATAATATAATAATAATAATTTAATAATAATAATATTAATATAATAATGATAATAGTGATAAATTAATCATAATAGTAATAATAAGAATAGTATTATTAAAACAAGTTATGATGCCAACTTAGTCTTAAGATAGAATTTCCACTATCTTGGTTGAATGAGATGATTTCAAAGAGGACTTAGGGGCATGGCATTAAAGGAATGTGGTTAGGGAAGTTTAGGAATATTAATAAAAATAATACTAATAATGATAGTAATAATCATAATAATAATCAAATGATCAAATGTCATGATGGGAACTTGACAAAGTGGTAGCATTTTGGTTAAGTCAATGTACTTGACTTGGATTGCATGCTTTAAGTAAATATAGGTGGGAAGTTAGATGGTTAGTAAAAAGATATTTGTAATATTTAAATTATATAAGTTATTTATATATAGAAGTTAGCTCTTTGGGTTGAGGATTCACGGAGGAAGAAGAGAAATAAGTAATTGTGAGTTACTTGATAAGAGTGAAAGGAAGAAAGAGAAAGAAGGGAGCTTGGACCGGCGTACGCAATTTACCCGACTACGCGCAACCGGCGGATTTATTTTAAATCCAAAAAGGCAAGTTATTATCTACTTTTCCCCTTTGAATTAATAAATTAATTGTTTAGTTTATTTTTATGCATAGAGCCAAGGTTAGGAGGTTAATAAATTATTAATTTTATTTTATTAAATTAATGAAATTTTAATTATATAGGATAGTATATATTTATTTATTATCCTATGAAATTAATAATGGCCGAAAATAATTAAATAAGGCGTTAGGGATTTTTTTTCTAGAATTTTCTAGATTTTTCCGGGGCTAATCTGCAATTTCCGGCGACCTTCCGGCGAGTTTTCCGGTCGCCGGCAGTGGGGGAGATGACCGGAGTAATCCGGTGTGATACGGCGCACTATAGTTACTGTGCGCATGGATATCCGGCCGTTAGATGAGTAACTAATCAGCAGATTGATTCGGTGTAGTCCAATACACCATAAGATGGTGCACGCGCGAACCAGGGCCCTTGGATTAGAAGAACTAAGATAGAATTATCCAGTGTAGCGCACCCACAACAAGTCCATGCAACCACCGAATCAGGAGCCGCCGCGTCAGCAAGGTACCATTAATGCGCGCGTGGCAGCGCTCCAGACGCGCGTGGGAGCGCGTGCGAGCGCGTGGCTGATGCCAGACGCGCGTGGAGGCGCGTGGGAGAGTGGGAAAGCTTGGCGGCGCGTGTGGGGAGCTCTGAGAGGCGCGTGGGGGCGCGCGAAGGGCCTCTGCAGCTGCTGGAAAAGTCCAGAATACCCCTAGGGGCTGTTTTGTCATTACCAGGACCTTCACTATACATTTTGGGGCCTCGGGTTGGCATTTTTAGAATTAACGGGACATTATATTATTATTTTATTTCCCGTCAACTATTATAATTGTCCGATTAATATTTCTAAATATTAATTATATCAGTTAAAGTGCGAATCGCTAGTAAACATATGTAATTAATTTAACGACTATTAATGGTATTATTTTATTAAACTGTAATAACCATTAATGTTAAATTAATTAGTGCTTGGTTTTATTCATATAAATAACCCATTATATATTATGGAATATTTATCCTGTTAATCGTACATAAACCATGATTAGTATGCTGTGTGCATTTTAGGAAATAAATGGACTGTTTAATTATGTCACATTTATATTATATGGATGAGTTGCCATATAGAACCATGTGAGCTGGCTAATAAGTTTAGACTCATTTATACCTTATGCATTCGTTGCGATAGACAGATGTGTGGCTGTCGGGGTATGTGGTTTAATATTATTGGCATGTGTTGCCTAATTGACATACTCGGTATATTTATTAATATTGTTGGCATGTGTTGCCTAATTGTTATGCTCAGTATATTCATCAGTACTTTGAGAGGTGTTATCACTGTGTAGTTCGTTATAGTCTGTGTTGTCAGTACCGTGCACCATGTATAATAGCTGATTTCCCGGGTAGGAAAAGGCGACACTTGACCACCTAGTGTGAGTCTAAGTGATCACCGTCTATTCTGGTTGAGGTCATGTTATACATTGGATAGTTCCCTTAGGATGTATACAGATATAGTACTCATCCGATTCATAATGATTAATTTATTTGATTCTCTGATTTGGGTCATAGTAGAGAGGACTTGCTCGTGGGGTTGACCCACCATTGTTGTTATTTCAGGATACGGTCAGTACCCGTTCCAAGGTTGAGGTTAGCAGTGTGGGACCACCATCCGAACTCATCTACTCTTACAATCCAGTTCAGGGTAGAAGTTTTACGTATTACTTCAGCTTCAGTTTTTATTTACTTTTGACGTTGAACTCTCAGGTTTATATTTAGGGATCCTTGACATAGGATTTCCAAGTTGTAATGGAGTACTGTATTTAAATAAAGGATGGATGGATGTTGTATTATTTAGTATTCCTTTCCTGTCTAAATTCTTTTATTATCATCATTTTGTATTCCATGCTTGTATATTGCCAATTATTTTTGATATCCCTCGTTTTTCGTGTATAAGCCTGATCAACTTATGCGTGAAAAATGTGGGGGTGTTACATACAATAATTCGGAAACTGCTTTAATAATTAGGTTAGGTTTGACAACGGTAAGCGTTGATTATCAACAATCAACGTGGCACGTCAGGTCACCAAACTATGACCCTCGAGTTACCAAGACCTTGGAATCGCACTAGGTCACCAAACCTTGAGACCCTATGTAATGTTCCGAATTTTCTGAATATTATTGAATGTTTATTTTATTTTATTTTCGTGCATCGTTTTGTGTGACACGCTTGCCTCGAGGGCTATTTAGGTCATTTCTTGAGTCGAGAGTTTTATAAAAGTATTTTTTATTTTTATTTTAAGCCAATTAGAAGTGATGGGATTATTTTAAATTTTTTTCAGAAGTCGGAATGATTTTTAGATTCGGGAACTTCTTCTGGTTTCCTCATTTTAAGTGAGGAGCGTTATTAACATTTGAGGTAGGGGTTTTTTAATGCTTCAAACTTTGCTTTTATTTGAGTATTGTTCTATGATTTCTCTTGAATCCATTTTTGTATGTAAATTTGTGAATCAAAATGATGTCATATTGAATTAATGGAAGCATGCTAGTGTATGGTGCAAAGATGTGTTTCATTTCATGCTAAAGATGTGTATAACATAACTTTGGTGAAAAGTGCTTAAATTAAGAATGTTAGCATGATTTGTGATAATATGGTTTCTATGAAGAGCATACTTGTAATCGAATTAAATGAGAATGCCATGCTTGTGACTATATTCATATTTGGTGCGAAATATTCCCCCAATAGTGGGAATGAGCAAGAGGAGAGAGAGGGAGCGATCTTTTTCCGGAAAAGATGAGGAGAGAGAACGACGTTAATATCGTTAAAGTATGTTGAATTTTCTTTATTTCAAAAAGGTGCAATTTTTAAACTTTGGTAATTTTTTCTTATTTCAAAACGGTGCAGGTTTTAAACTTTTTTTAAATTAGTTGATGTGATTTAAGTAAATAGATTTTAAATATCACGTGTCAATCTATAGAGAATTCAACTTAGGATACCTTATAGAAGATTTAATTTAGAGGATCCAAGTTTTAAGAGTAAGTACACATCTTAATCCGTTCAAACAAAACTTTCTTTTCTCTATCTTATTATTCTTTCTTTCCTATTTTTCTCTCTCCTCTGTTTTTTTTTTTTTTTTGTTTTTTTGTTTTTCACCCTTTTTTTTCTCTCTAATTATTACTTGTAACAATTTTAATGGGCTTGGTTGCCTTTGGGAACAATGAATTTTGCAACCAATTTTTGTGAGGACAAACATTATTGTTGTAATATTGTTTCTTCAATAATAATATAAGAATACTCCATATGGTTCATATTTTCTTATATATTTATATTTCCTCCTATTTATTAATTAAAATTATAGTTAAAAAACTTCTCAATGTGCTTGGAAATTAAAGAGAACAAAGGGGGAATGATATGAAATAAGGAAATATTATTTCCTCTCTCTCTCGTGGGTTATTGTCCAGCATGATCCCGATTAATTGACAGTATTGCAAGGAATGGACTAAGGAATATTTTGAACCTTTATTATTATTTGTACAAAGTGAATGCTCCTACACCCAAACTGTGGGATGGAGAAATAGAATTTCGAGAATGGTGCAAAATAATTATATAGTATAATAAGTAATGGTGTCCTTACATTCTACTTTTTTATTTTGCAGTTCTTTGTCTACTCATCCTATTTCACGGAGCTCCAAAAAAAAAATTAGACACAGAAAAGAAAGAGAACAGCCTCAATGAATGCAATACAGGTTCCTTTCAATTGCTTCCATACAAAGCCTATCCCAAAAACATTATTACAATTTACAACCAAAAATTAAAAAAAAAAAAAATAAAAAAAAAAAAAAAAAACAGAGAAAAATATGGGGAAAAAAACGAAAGAAAGAGTACAACCAATATTGGACCTCCTCAGAAAGATCCATTTCGATAGGACAAACATGACATACACGACTAATGTACTTTATTATAGTAAGAAATCTAAACATTCAATTTTGCCACAAGTCTATGCTAACTTAGCAAGAATTCTCTGATTAAAGTCCTCCATCTCTCTCCCTACAATATTACACCTAATCAAACTCCCAATTGTATTCATACCCATCTTAACATCCTCCCACGGATTGCCATTAGCCAACTTCTTATACAAATAGCTCTCAAATGTCATCCTTTGCACATACTCATCCCCACACAACTCCACCAATGCCTCCCTACTAGCATTGCTACCATAAAACACCTTTTGCAATATATCCAAAAACCTAAAAGTATTAATGTACTTGGCATCCCACTCTTTCAAATACTCCCTCTTCAAATCCTCCTCCGTAATCATCCTCTCTCCACCCTCCGATGCCCTCACGATCCCCTCCGCGCACATCCGACCGCTCTTTGCCGCGAAATATATGCCTTCCCCCGAGCACTTGGTCACGTATCCGGCCGCATCCCCGACTAGAGCCACCCGGCCCCGAACCCTAACCGGACGCGGGTGTTCGGGGATCGGGTGAGCCTCTACTTTAATAACTTTTCCACCGGCAATCTTACGACTGACTCGTTCTCTGATACCGTGTTGAAACACCTTAATTTCTTTTTTTGAGCACACAGTACCCGTGCCCACCGCCACGTGGTCGCATTTCGGAAAAACCCACGCATAAAAATCGGGAGATACGTCGTTTCCAACGTACATTTCCGCGAGATTTTGATAGTATTCCATTTTATCGTCCGGCAGTTTGATTCGTTCTTGGAAGGCAATGGCACAAGCGTAATTTCCGGCGTGTATCGACTTGGCGACTCGGCTGTTTGCGCCATCAGCGCCGATGACGACATCGACGGCCAGGGATTGTCGGGAGTTTTCGATATTGTAGTGCACGACGTACGGTGCACTCGGGGAGGAGGGGACCTCGAGATTCGTGACGAGGGCTTTGATGATGCTTGCGCCGTTGGATTCGGCGCGAGATCGGAGGTAGGAATCTAGTACTTCACGGCGGAGCATGGAGATGAACTCGTGGGGCTTTAGGGTTTTGCCGAAATCGACGGTGAGATTGGAGGGGGAGATGATCTTCATCTGGGTCACTTTCCGGTCGATGAGCTCCGGCGGGATGGAGAACTCGTCGAGCATGCAGAGAGGTATGGCGCCGCCGCAGGGCTTGGCGCCGTTGGGGCTGCGCTCGAAGAGGAAGGTCTCGATCCCGGCGGCGGCGAGGGTTTCAGCCGCGGAGGATCCGGCTGGGCCCCCGCCGATGACGGCGGCGCGTAGCTTGCGGCCAGAGATTCGTGGGTCAGATTTTCCGGCGATAATCAGAGTGTTTGGTTTCAACTTCAAGAGTGGGATTGATGAACGTGAGCTTTTACAGGTGAGTGGGACGGAAGTGAATAGAGAATGGAGTGAGTGGGTCTGAGTGGCCATTTTGCTAGATTGAAGACGCAGGTGTATAGATATATATATATATATATATATATATATATATATATATATAAGAAGAGACTGAGGAGTGGAACTGTGTAAGCGATGGGTTGGGTTTAACAATGGAGAAGAAAGTGGACTCGGGTTATTGACTTCTTGAGTAAAGTGAGTACTGTTATGTTGATGTGTTTACTTTGTCTTTTACTCAAATTATAATATATACTATTTGTACATATATATTAATTTTACATCACTTTCACCTTATGGATTCGTTTTTGGACAATCTTTTTTTAAGTTTTTTTTAGTTAAAGAATTTTTTGGAAGTTGCATTCAAAATTTAAACTTTATTTTTTTTTGTAAGTTTCCACTGAGATTGATAAAAAAATGTTGCAATTATTGCAGGTATGCTTATGAATAACCTGTCACTCGACTTAAAATATTAAACAGATGGGGTGCAATTTGTAAAAACAAAATTCATCTCTCTTTTTTATTTTAAAAATATATTTTAGCATATTTTTCTTTAATTATCATAATCATGTATCTTACATTGTCTCGCTCTAGTCCCTTCATTGGTTCGTCCTTTGGTGGGGTCGATATTACCTTTTGGCCAGATTGGCTTTTGAATTATGTAAATCTGGATTGCATTGCTGCTGGTTTGCTTAATTTAATGTGATCTGGTTTTGATTCTGAAAAAAAAAAAAGAAAAAAAAAAAAGAATATCATTTCTCCATAACTTTTGGTAATATAATGTCAAAAAATTAAGTTTGTATCTAATTTGCTGATGTTAATTTGCTTAGCCCTCATAACCACCTCTTTACAAATAAATTGAATGCCTAGTACTAAGGCTAAAAAGGTATATTTGCCTTGTAAAAAATTAAGGGCATGTTTTAGTTTCTGTGCTCTGCCTCTCGCTTTAGTTGGTTAGAAATTAAATTCAGCGTGTCACTCTGACTTGGAGTTTTCTATGCCTAGAAGTTTGTCATTAGCGCACCATTAGAGGTCTAGTCATAGCATTTCACTTTCCGTTGCAGTTGAGGTGAGTTCATTCACCGACAACATTGAATAACAGCATATTCTAGATACATTTTCTGACATCTTGAATCTTGATTTATTAGCTGCTGTAATACAAATGCATAAAATCATTTAACTGGTGGAATTCCAGCAAGCAAGAAATTAACCCTATCCCTATTTTGTAGTTGACTAATACAAAGGTTATTAGATTAATTTCATCAAACATGCATCTTGTTTCAGTAGCCGCCACGGTGAAAGTTTCTCCAAAGGTTTAGCTAGTGAATACCTACTAAGCAAGAAACTCCTGAGAGACGCGCAACATTTTTTAAATATTGTATTTCATATATATAAGCACATATAAATATTATATCTAAAATACGTCTGTCTTCTTCATTTCTCTCTTTAAAAGCTTTATTAGCTTTTATTAATGGATTCTCCAAGGACTCACAGTAATTTTTGAACTTCAAAATCCAAACACACTCCAAAAACCCATATAATTTCACATCTCGAAAAAAGATAACGAAAAAAATTATTTTGAGAAATGACCTGGTCTGGCCCATTCCTCGCCAACGAGAATTTTTACGAACTTGATGTTTCATGTTACGTCAATTTGAACTTGCTCGATCTGATCCAAACGGGTTCAAGTGCCTGAAGAGCATATTTACCAACTTGAAAAGGATCTTTCTGATTCTCAAAGAATTTGGACTTTAGCTCCATAGAACAATATGCTACTGCTGAAACAACAGAAGCCCTTATTTTCATATTTGCCCTTCCTTGCAAATAAGGCATATCTTGTCTAGGCAAAATTTAGTTCAATGTGCTCATCAGCGCCGGACCCTGAGATGTGCGGAGTATTATGCAGAAACTCCAAAGTATCGTCCAAAGATCTAAGCTTTGTTCATGTAAATCTTGATTTTTGGTCTATTTTTTCTTATCTGATTAAAGAGCACAAATATCACTGATTCACACTCTTTTTAGTAGAATTTTGTTGGGATTTTACGTATAACATAAGTATGAAATATAGTTAGTACTGCTTGTGATATAAAATACGTATTGCTTAGGATATTAAGTAGGATTATGTTGGGATATTAAGTACAACTTATACTGACTTAAATTACAAACTATTGGGATGGTATGTATGTATTGCTTAGGATGTTAAGTAGGATTATGTTGGAATATTATGTACAACTTATAAGGACTTCAATTACAAACTGTTGGGATGTTATGTACAAATAATCTATTAGGATTATGTTGGGATGTTGCATACAACTTATATTGACTTGAATTACAAACTGTTTGGGATGTTATGCAACACACAAATAATTAAATAAAAACCATGCCAGTCCAGATGTTGTTCTGTTCCAATATTGCTATGTTAATTTGGAATAAAATGACCTAGTGTAACACCCCCAACATTTTCCACGCATAAGTTGATCAGGCTTATACACGAAAAACGAGGGATATCAAAAACAATTGGCAATATACAAGCATGGAATATAAAATGATGATAATAAAAGAATTTAGACAGGAAAGTAACACTAAATAATACAACATCCATCCATCCTTTATTTAATACCGTACTTCATTACAACTTGGAAATCCTATGTCAAAGATCCCTAAATATACCCCTGAGAGTTCAACGTCAAAAGTAAATAAAAACTGAAACTGAAGTATTACATAAAACTTCTACCCTACTGGATCGTAAGAGTAGATGAGTTCGGATGGTGGTCCCACACTGCTAACCTCAACCTTAGAACGGGTGCTGACCGTATCCTGAAATAACAACAATGGTGGGTCAACCCCACGAGCAAGTCCTCTCTACTATGACCCAAATCAGAGAATCAAATAAATTAATCACTATGAATCGGTTGAGTACTATATCTGCATACATCCTAAGGGAACTATCCAATGTATAACATGACCTCAACCAGAATAGACGGTGATCACTTAAACTCACACTAGGTGGTTAAGTGTCGTCTTTCCCTACCCGGGAAATCAGCTATTATACATGGTGCACGGTACTGACAACACAGACTATAACGAACTACACAGTGATAACACCTCGCAAAGTACTGATGAATATACTGAGCATATAAGTTAGGCAACACATGCCAGCAATATTAATAAATATACTGAGTATGTTAATTAGGCAACACATGCCAATAATATTAAACCACATACCCCGACAGCCACACATCTGTCTATCGCAACGAATGCATAAGGTATAAATGAGTCTAAACTTATTAGCCAGCTCATACGGTTCTATATGGCAACACATCCATATAATATAAATGCGACATAATTAAACAGTCCATTTATTTCCTGAAATGCACACAGCATAATAATCATGGTTTATATATCAATTAACAATATAAACATCCCATAAGATATCATGGATAATTTATCTGACTAAAACCATGGCCTTATTTAATTTAACAGTAATGGTTGATACCATTTAATAAGATAATAACACTATTTATATTTAACAATGTCGTTAAATAAATCACATTAGTATCCGTATTGTGAACGAGCCAATAAATGCTTAGAAAAGATTAATCAGCCATAAGAATAAGTAACGGGTATTAAAATAATAATTTCGTGGCCCGTTAAACCCGTAAATACCAACACAGTGCCTAAAAATCCAAGTTTAAGGTTCTGGAATTTACAAAACAGGCCCTAGGGGTATTCTGGTAATTTCCAGTAGCTGTAGAGACCCTACACGCGCCCTCACGCGCCTCCCAGAGCTTCCCACACGCGCTGCCACTTTTCTCACACGCGCACGCGCTTACACGCGCCTTCACGCGCGTCTAGAACCTCTCACGCCCGCGCACGCGCTGCCACGCGCGCACTAATGCATCCTGATGACGCGGCGTGTGCTGGTTGGTCGGTTGTACCGTTTCTATGTGGGCGCGCTACACTGGATTGATCCACCTTCCTTCCCTCCATCCAACGCTCACGGATCCGGGTGTACCGCGGTAACATGGACCGCGATGCACCGGATCAATCAGACTCTACCAATGGCCAGAATGCACGCGCGCACTAACCTACCATGCGCCGCATCACACCGGATCACTCCGGTCATCTTCTTCACTGCCGGTGGCCGGAAACCTCGCCGGAGGCTCGCCGGAAATTGCAGAAAATGCCCGAAAAATTCCTAAAAATTCTATAAAAAATCCCTAACGCCTTAAGGAAATATTTTAGCTATTTTTAACTTCATAGGATAATAACTAATTATCTACCATCCTAAATAATTAAAAATCCACTAATTTAATAAACTAAAAAAAATCATTTATTAAAATCTAAGCATGTTCTCAATGCTCCATCATAATCTAAATAATTTAAACAATTAATTTATGGATTCAAAGGGGAAAAATAGATAATAACTTGCCTTTTTGGATTTAAAATAAATCCGCCGGTTGCGCGTAGTCGGGTAAATTCCCTACACCGGTCCAAGCTCCTTTCTTTCTCTCTCTTCCTTTCCACACTCTTACAATGGCTCACTAGAATTTATAATTTGTGTTTAACTCCCTTTCCTTCCTTCTAAGGTAGGCTAGCTAATTTATATACAAATTATATAATATAAATATTACAAATATCTAATTTTTACATTTACTAACCACCTTCCCAACCATATGGCTTCAATTCCACCCATAAACATTGATGAAATCCTATCCTAATCTCTAATTTCATCATGACATTGGTTTAATACTATTATTATTATTATAACTATTATTATTATTAATAAACTTTTATAATAATAATTATTATTATATTATTATTATTATATACAAATTAAATACCTTAATTAAATAATAATAATTAATCTAAAACATAACCAATAAAAATTTCAAAACTAATCATTATACTATATAGAACATAAATCAATATTACATGCACAAATAAATAAAATTAATTAACTAATCTAACATATATAATTACAAGGTGATTAAATCTACACATTAAAAAAAAAAAATTAACCTAACACAAAATTAATTTAAATACACTCTTTAAAATTACGGGGTATTACATTCTCCCCCCCTAATAAAGGAATTTCGTCCCCGAAATTCACTACATACCTGTATTAAAAAGCTCTGGATACTTGGCACGGATAATATCTTCCCGTTCCCAAGTAGACTCTGTAGCACTATGATGACTCCACTGTACACGTA